ATTGGTGACCTGAATTGTGTATAATATTGAAAATACAGGAAATCTTCAACTTACAAATACGTTGGGGACCTTCTGTATTGTGTATAATAATAATAGTAATACAGTGGACCCCCGGTTAACGATATTTTTTCACTCCAGAAGTATGTTCAGGTGCCAGTACTGACCGAATTTGTTCCCATAAGAAATATTGTGAAGTAGATTAGTCCATTTCAGACCCCCAAACATACACGTACAAACGCACTTACATAAATACACTTACATAATTGGTCGCATTCGGAGGTGATCGTTATGCGGGGGTCCACTGTAATAATAATAATAATAATAATATACACTATATAATGATATTATACACAACACATTAGATTCTGAATGTGTTCATAAGTAGAGACTTAATGTATCAGAAGAAACATTTCAGGAGTGACTTCTTCAGTCCTAACACAGAGATAACTTAGATACGAGTATATATAGTGTCAGATGGTAAGCCATGAGAGGGTAGTAGTATTAAGACACATGTGCAACATCTGGGTATCTTTATTGTAGACGTTTCGCCATCCAGTGGCTTTATCAATACAAATTCTAGGACATAACTTGAAGACAGTAGAACTATGTACAGAAGATGAGGTAATCAGTCCCTCAACCTAGGAGTAGGGACTGATTACCTCATCTTCTGTACATAGTTCTACTGTCTTCAAGTTATGTCCTAGAATTTGTATTGATAAAGCCACTGGATGGCGAAACGTCTACAATAAAGATACCCAGATGTTGCACATGTGTCTTAATCTCATCTTGTCGGTATTATGTACCATTCGTACACAGGGTAGTAGTAGTAGTAGTAGTGGCGTCATTCCAGACAGTTGATATACATATGTGATTCATTTATGCAGATTTTAATTTTATTTTAGACTTAAGAGAAGCTAATAGAAGTAAACCTTTGTCTAATTCTTGAAACACACTTGAATGTTTCATCACAGTCGTCACAAAATCATCATCGTCATCATGTCAAGTTTTAGAAATCATTATTCCTGTAAGTGTCTGTGATAAGAATATATTTAAAGTAATTACCGAGTATTATTTACCTGTGTCCTCTCTCCCAGTTCCATCCTTCAAACTGGTCAGGTTTACCAACGTCAGCTGGTTCGCAAGACATTACAGTAAACATCACTGACTCCTTGTGGGTTTAGTACTTAGTTTTGATTGTAATATTGTTGTTATAATCACGGGGGAGTGTTAAACCCGTAAGATATACAGCGCCTGTGGGGGGGATGGAAGGTATTCAGACTTAATTCACGGAACTGGAACATAGATCCAATTCCCTAGATCAAGAGCCCCTCACCAACATCAAGGAACCTTCCTTGAGGGGAATGTAATAATAATATGAGGAACATGGTAATGACAATTTTTTTTTTGTAAGTTTACCTCTGGGTTTTAAGTTATCATATGAATAAATTATTATTATTATTATTATAATCAAGGGGAAAGCACTAAACCCGGAGGATTATACAGCGCCTGGGGGGGGGGATGTGGAAGGCATTCAGGCTTAATTCGGGGAACTGGAGCACAGATCCAATTCCCTAGATCAAGAGCCCCTCACCAACATCAAGGAACCTTCCTTGAGGGGACTTATGAATAAAGAAGTTCCTTACATTATGCAAATTTACTATACCAGGGGCCCCCCCCCGACCTGTGTTGTTATTGCAGTCACGAGGGAGCACTAGACCCGTAGAGGTCATGCAGCACTTTGAGACATGCAAGGCATTCAGACTTCATTCAATGAAATGGAAGACAGATCCAGTTCCTTGAATCAAGAGCCCTTCACCAGCATCAAGGAACCTTCCTCGACGGATATCCCCAACATGTGGCCCATTTGAAATATTGTTATGTTTTGTACAACCTCACTGTTATGAACCTAATTATGTATGTATCTAATAATGTACAGTATATCAGAATGTACTGCTCCATAACCTATATCAAAATAAGAGTAAGAATTAGGCCTGAAATGCCTAGGCCTGCTAGTGGCTTTCTTTGTAATTAATATTTTATATGTAAACCGTACATTGTAAACTTTGCAAGGAAATAAATATTTGAATTTGAAGTGCCACATGTGACCCTTCTAGGAAATGGATGCAGCCCTCACACTGCAGCCCTCACACTGCAGCCCTCACACTGCAGCCCTCACACTGCAGCCCTCACACCGCAGCTTGTACACTGCAGCTTGTACACTGCACAGCAGCAACAGTTAGAAAATATTGTTATCTGTCATAAAAATTACAAAATATGGCCTGCCTTTAACCCTTAAACTGTCCAAACGTAGATCAACGTTTGCTTGCATAGCGCTCCGAACGTAGATCTATGTTTCTTTTTACTTGGTTTCTTATTGAGAAAATCAAGGTCGGAGTGCAAATGTGTGCAAACGTAGAGCTACGTTTGGACAGTTTAAGGGTTATATTAAGCTCTACTCTATAACCCTGCACTATCCCATTCCCTGCTGTATGACCCTTGTAGGTTTAGCGGTTCTTTTTTATTATAATAATTTAAATTTAGCTTTTCAAATTGGTCCGTTGATACTAAAAGGTCGGGATTCCTGCACTATACAATACTATACAAATTTATTAATTTTTATGCAGTATACAAAGTTTACATGTTATTACAAATCAAATCAAATTGAAGTTTATTCTCTATAAGGATTACAGTGTGGGGTTTACAGATTTTGGTTATTGTGTGGTTTACATGTAATAAAATACTAATTACAGAGGGGACCACTAGGACACCTAGCATGGCTAGGCATTTCAGGCAAACTTAGATTAATTCTTAACCCTAAATTATAACAAATTGTGGAGTAAGTTGACTAAATACTAAGTGACTAAATACTGTACTAGTTTGTGAGTGGGGGAGTGCTATACCTGTAGGGATTATACAGCACCTATAGGGGGGATGGAAGGTATTCAGGGAACTGGAGTACAGATCCTTATTCCATAGATCAAGAGCCCCTCACCAGCACCAAGTAACCTCCCTTGAGGGGATTTTCATATTGAATTCTTATTCACACAAAAAATAGATTTACTGTTATTCAGACTACTGCATTATTGTAATAATTGTATAAGTAATATCAGCACATTCGTGACTGCATATTAGACCCACCAGTTGATGTATATTGGATGCACAACGTGATTTGTTTACTCTTGAACATCGGCAAATATCAAACATTTCCGCTACTTTTAGTTCATAAACCATTTAAAATCATCTCTATTTCTGTAATATATCTTCCATTCTGTCAAATGAGACCAAGAAACTGAGAATGTAACCATAAATGCCATAAAAAAATAAACTGCAAAGTTGCCGTTTTAAACCAAAAACAGTCCTTTATTTTTTTCTCATGCACGGCGTGCTGCTGGGTTTTTTTTTTATGCTGCGCACACTGACCATGCAGACCCATCATTCTCTCACATGTAGGCCTATCAGCTTTCTCCCGCAAGATTTGAAGCTGCTACAATTTTGTTATTAGCTCTTCCACCAGGAGGCCTGGTCACAGACCGGGCCGCGGGGGCGTTGACCCCCGAAACTCTCTCCAGGTAAACTCCAGGTCTTCTGACAGGTAAGAGGCAGTTAAATTTTCATTTATTATTCATTTTTACAGTTTCCATGTGATGTATAATTTTATACATTGTTTTATATAGTAGTTAGTACATTATTATTAATAAATTATTATAGTATTGTCATTTGGGTCTGGAACTGATTAATTTTATTTACATTATTCGGTATGGAAAAAATTGCTTTGGTTGTCGTTGATTTTGGTTGTCAAATCGGCATCCGGAACAACTTCAGTTCGACAACCAAGGTTCCACTGTATATACATGAGAAGATCCAGAGATAAGAAGGAGTTACACTTGAGTCTTTCAGGTGGTAACTACAGTGCCTGCACGCTACAGGATGGCCAAGGATGTTACAGTTTGGAGAAACATCTAAACTGTGATGTCAGCTTAACTGATAGCTTCAAACTTAACACCTATCACAAAATATAAAGTCAACAAGAGGTGGTGTAGAAAGTTTGATATCTCACACAATAAACCATTAATATACAGAACTAATAGCAGATCATTATTATCAAATATCAAGCGCTAAACTTACTTAATCTCTCTCAGTAGTAGTAACCAGTTACCAGTAACCACTATGTCAGTTGACTCACGACCAACCGTCTCTGCCTGAGTCACTATCTGAACTCATTGCGCTGACCTGGCATTATTCAAAGACCCTCTCACATATGGGTACGGGCGGCCAGTCAGTTAGTTATATGAGAGTGAGCAAGGAGGCAGGTCACGGCTGTAAGGGCGTTATCCACCTTATCTGTAATTATACGTAATACCAGCCTACGTGAGTATTTCTTACCTAATCCACGTGTCGAACTCCCACATGATATCTCCGCCATTAGTTGACTAGTATCCTTTAATTCAGAATATAGCCTCTCCTCACTTAACGATGGAGTTCCGTTCCTAAGACCACGTCCGTAAATGAATTCGTCACTAAGTGAGGAACATACTATAATAGTGGGTTTGTGTCAACCATCTTTGATATTGTTTTAATGTCACCTTTACACCATTAATAATATTTCTGGTATATTTTTAAATGTTTATACAGTAGTGTACTGTATATTGCAATAAACAGAATAGAAGAAATCAGCTCTAATATACATTATTTAGGTATGCACACTGGTCAGAGAGCTCATCATAAGTTTGAGTCATCGGTAAGCAAGTACATCGCTAAGTGAGGAGAGGCTGTAATGTTAAATAATAACAGAAAGATGCACACAGAGGTATAATAGGTACACAGTAGAGTACTAAAGTACTCTACTGTGTACACACAATTTATAGTGATATTGTAATAAACTATTTTCAATTTAGTTAAAAGTACAGTTTACCCAGTCGATTCTACCCATTATTTCAAGGTTCTTAATACGAAGGGTTTACTGTACATACTGTAGGAAGGAGCAATAAACACAACAAAACTATAATATCCCAACATTGTAATAAATATAGAACAATATTTATATTAAATATTTTACAAAATATCTGAAGACACATTCTAGGAAGAACTTCCTCGGCCACCTCCTTCAGAGGCACCTTCATACTGCTGAAGGGCTCTTGATCCCAGGAAATGCTGCTCCCTTTCCCCTCTTTGGATCAAACCTGATTTGCGAAATAGTAATAACATGCAAATCAACCACGGAATGGGTGGGATTTGAACTGAGGAGTTCAAGTCGCATTCATTCCATGATTTGATTTCAAATCTAAGTGCATATTTCCCCAGGCCATGTATGACCCTCATGGGTTTAGCACTTCCATGTAGATAGTGTAGAATAAATGACAATACCATACTGTGGAGAGAAACTTTCATTTTTCTTTTTAGGTCACCTTGCCTAAGTATATGGTCGGTTTGTTGAAAAAAAAAAAAATACTGTATTGTGGCGGCAACAATTCACACATCTCTCACTTCTGAGAGGAAATTTCATTTTTGTCTATCCTGGACTACTGTCAAGCTGTGGCTATGTTTCAGTCCAGGATGGATGGAAATGTAGCCTAGAGTTTACTCTGAGGTGAGGAACTGTCCCTGGGGATCCACAACGACAAATCACCTGAAGCCAATATTAACCCAACAAAAAGCTGCAGTATGAATGATCACACAGTCCACAGCTACACAACACCCTCCCCCCCTCAAACTTTTCAAAGACCTAAACCTACTCGGTATACAAAACATTCAGTCGTACTGCTGTGCCACCTACATTTACAGAACGATCAATTCTTCTATAAATCCCGACATGAGGCGCTTTCTTGACAGTTGCAACAGGACCCGTGGACACAATACTAGGCACAAAAATCTCTGACATTTCCCGTGTCAGGCTAAATCTTTTAAAAAACTCCTTCCTTGAGGGGTGTTCCTTGATGTTGGTGAGGGGCTCTTGATTTAGGGAATTGAATCTGTGCTCCAGTTCCCCGAATTAAGCCTGAATGCCTTCCACATCCCCCCCAGGCGCTGTATAATCCTCCGGGTTTAGCGCTTCCCCCTTGATTATAATAATAATAATTTTAAGAAACTCAGTGTACATAAAAGGACCCAAAATCTGGAACTCTCTGCCAGAAATCTCCAGAACCACTTTTAAAACTACAGTTAAAAACACCTTATCTCTTTAACCTATCCCAGCCCATCATAAATATGTAAAAACTATATATGTATTTGCTCAATATTATGAACTTAGTTAAAAAATTATAATCAATATATACTTACTCTCAATATGTGTAATCCTTCCATTGCCCACCTTAGGTTAATAATCAAAATTGTAATTCTTTTTTACCAAACTTATTAAAGCCATATAGCATGAACTAACAAAATATTCAATTTTCTTGTATTTATTGTAACTCACCTAATGACTATACATGTACAAAATTACTGCACTATATTGCCTTATTAATCTTAAGTTAGTCCAAAGTTTGCCTGAAATGCTCTGCATATAAAGGTGCTTTTGGCATGTTCACTCAATTGTTATACTCCTTTGTACATTATTATTATTATCAAGGGGGAAGCGCTAAACCCGGATTATACAGCGCCTGGGGGGGATGTGGAAGGCATTCAGGCTTAATTCGGGGAACTGGAGCACAGATCCAATTCCCTAAATCAAGAGCCCCTCACCAACATCAAGGAACCTTCCTTGAGGGGTCTCCTTTGTACAAACGTGTATCATGTCAAAATAAAATTATTATTATTACATATCATCTTCAATAATTTGTTTATCACATATTTTTGTAAGGTTTTCAATAGTTGAGCAGTGCTGTATCACCCTTATGGGTTTAGTGCCTGGTTATGATTATAATAATTTCGATGCTTGAAGCCCTTACTTGAAGTCTCTCTTAACTCATTCCATTGAGCGTGAGTAAAAATATAATAACACTCGACCGGCTCTAGTTACACGCCATCTGGCTGTATAGCCCTTGTGGCTTAGCGCTTCTTTTTGATTATAATAATAATAATACGCGCTATCTGTAGTTTATTCATCTTGGTAAAATCCAAAGACAAAACTTAATAATTTATAAACTTACAGTAGAGGGAGACTCCCCGACATATGAACATTCGTGTTGCAAACTTTCGACATGAACAATTTTCCTCGAAGTCTTAATTTTATTATAAACATTGTAATCTTTATTTCATATATAAGACATGTTTTATTAATAGTATACAGTATGTATTTTTCATGTGTTGACACATATGTTTATACTATGTACACTTATTGGGAGCGCTTGAGGTTCCTAAAACTGTATTCCCTGGAACGCAGGAGGGAGAGATATATGATTATATACACCTGGAAAATCCTAGAGGGACTAGTACTGAACTTGCACACGAAAATCACTCACTACGAAAGCAAAAGACTTGGCAGACGATGCACCGTCCCCCCAATGAAAAGCAGGGGTGTCACTAGCACGTTAAGAGACCATACAATAAGTGTCAGGGGCCCGAGACTGTTCAACTGCCTCCCAGCACACATAAGGGGGATTACCAACAGACCCCTGGCAGTCTTCAAGCTGGCACTGGACAAGCACCTAAAGTCAGTTCCTGATCAGCCGGGCTGTGGCTCGTACGTTGGTTTGCGTGCAGCCAGCAGCAACAGCCTGGTTGATCAGGCTCTGATCCACCAGAAGGCCTGGTCACAGACCGGGCCGCGGGGGCGTTGACCCCCGGAACTCTCTCCAGGTAAACTCCAGGTAAACTCATTGTTCATACGTACATCTACTATATTACTGTACAATACTGTATACGTACATACGTTGGACTTACGAATGGCTGCTAGGAACCGAACCTGTTTGTAAGTAGGAGATTGTGTGTACTGGAGCTACACTGCCAAAGGTAAAAGTGATGCTGGTCACTCGGTGTTTTTCCATGTATTGCAGTATTTAAACTAAGTCACTCTCAATGACTGCCAAGCCATCACAAAGAAATACAAACTACTGCAGTACAGGTGCTCCTTGACTTTGCAACGGTGAAGAAGCAGTTACAGTGGTACCTTGGGATACGAACAGCTCAAAACTCGAACAATTATGTGAGTGTATTTATGTAAGTGCTTTTGTAAGTGTATTTTTGGGGATCTGAAATGGATTAATCTAATTTCCATTATTCCTTATGGGAACAAATTCATTCAGCATCGGCATTCGAACAGCCTTATTTATTTATTTATTTATTTAGAAATTTTAGCATACATACAGAGGTACAAAAAAAAATACAGGTAAGAGCAGCATGCCAAAGCCACTTATATGCATAGCATTACAGGCTGGCTTAAAATTAACTTAAGATTAACTAAGCAATGATGTAATCAGTTATAAAACATTATTGTAAACAGATAACAATAAAGCACAAGTGAGTATTACAAAGACAGGTCATATGGTTGCTTGCATTGCTGTTCATTCAGTAGAATGGAGTATTCTGTTAGGTAGTGTATTTAAAAAAATAATAAAGTTAGATTGGGTCCTAGGTTTAACATTTGTGTGATATAATTGTGAGTAACATTTAGGATATACAATTTATAAGGTTCAGTTATTCAGTATTTATTTGGTTTTGAGTGAGTAAGTGATCTTTGAGAAGAGACTTGAATTTATAAACAGGTAGTGTTTCTTTTATATTTACAGGTAATGAATCCCAGATTTTAGGGCCTTTTATGTGCATTGAGTTTTTGCATAGCCTTCTGGAATGAATTAAGTTTGTATCCCGAGGTACTACTTTACTTTGGAAATAAAACTTGAGATAATTACCCAACATGAAGGTGGCAAGTCCATAACTTGTATTCATTTATTTACTTTTCGATACTGGTATTTAGTTCCAGCAATTATTATTATTATAATCAAAAAGAAGCGCTAAGCCAGTTCCAGCAATTATTTGTTTATTTACTTATCATCCATATTCAACTTAGGATATTTGCAACTTATTATGGGTTCGTTGGAACATAACACCACCATACGTTGTGAAGTACCTGTATAGTCAACTCTCTGATTAAGGCCTTTATAGTGATCTAGATTATTATAATCATGGGGGAGCGCTAAACCCATAGGGGTTATACAGTACCTGTGGGTGAAGGAGGGTGATGGAAGGTATTCAGACTCAATTTAGGGAACTGGAGCACAGATTCAATTCCCTAGATCAAGAGCCCCTCGCCAGTGTGAAGGAACCTCCCCTGAAGGGATAGTGATCTAGAACAATGCCACAGCGTAAGTAAATTTTTAGCGGCATTTTTAACATCAACATGCTCAGGTGTATGAAGAATTTTTATCCACTTTTTAATATGAATTATAAGTGTTGAACTGGAAGTGCCCTGGGAGTGGGAAGCAATCGTAAATGTTGAACTGACAAGGGAAGCAATCAAGTTTGATCTCTTCACCAGCATCAATCAAGTTTGATCTCTTCACCAGCATCAATCAAGTTTGATCTCTTCACCAGCATCAATCAAGTTTGATCTCTTCACCAGCATCAATCAAGTTTGATCTCTTCACCAGCATCAATCAAGTTTGATCTCTTCACCAGCATCAAATTTCATACAGTGACTGTACAATAACTTTATGTTGAAATCTAAATGCAAAAATTAGGAAAGTATTATGTTTCTTCTTTGTAGGGTTGCCACGCCTCAGCGGGAGATGGCCGGCACTAAAAAAAAGAAAAATATAAATAACTGAATTGAGGAAGCAATGTATAAAATTTTTGTAGATAATTTTGTCCACTGGACTATTTTGTCGCATAACTCGAAATTTTGACTCATTAATTGACACACGAGTCTTGAGAAGTTGTTAATCTTGCACTAGCCAGGAGGCCACTTCATCTGCCGCCCTCCCAGTATATGAAGGTGCAGATGATACACCGACTGTGCTCCGTCACTTCCATTGTTGATCACTGGAACGATATACCAAAACTAGGTTAATCTGCTCGTTTTAATACCAATGTGCATGTAAAAAAATGACGTTGATAGAATGATGGTGAATGTGATTTCTTCTTGGGGTCATCCTGCCTTGAAATTATGCACTCAAGAAAAAAAAAAAATTAGATTTAATAGCACAACAGTCATCTTCCACTAAGTTAAGATAAGATAAGATTTCGTTCGGATTTTTAACCCCAGAGGGTTAGCCACCCAGGATAACCCAAGAAAGTCAGTGCATCATCGAGGACTGTAACTTATTTCCATTGGGGTCCTCAATCTTGTCCCCCAGGATGCGACCCACACCAGTCGACTAACACCCAGGTATCTATTTGCTGCTAGGTGAACAGGACAACAGGCGTAAGGAAACGTGCCGAGATGTTTCCACCCGCCGGGAATCGAACCCGGGCCCTCCGTGTGTGAAGCGGGAGCTTTAGCCACCAGGCCACAGGCAGGTTACTATCCTCTGATAGTACAACTATACTATCAGGAGACAGCTCTACTGTCAGTGTTCTTCAGTGGCATCATGGTACCCCTTCCTTCCATGAGGGAAGTGCCATGATGGTGATGTGAAGATAGCTCCACTTAAGTGTTCTTCAGTGGTACCATGGTATCCCTTCCTTGCCTGTAGTAAACACCATAAAGAATGGTAATACAAAGGTAAAGTATAACAAATGTGTAATTAAGACATACTGGGGCTGGAGAAAACACCTTCATGATACAATATCATAACCAGCAATGTGCGTCTTATGTACACAAGCCATGATTAACATACAGTGGTACCCTGAGTTTCGTACATAATTCGTTCCAGAAGGCTGTTCGAGTGCCGTTACCGAACGAATTTGTTCCCATAAGGAATAATGTAAATTAGATTAATCTGTTTCACACCCCCAAAAACACACTTACAAAGGCACTTACAATAATACACTTGCATAACTGGTCGAGTTGGGAGCAGTTCGAAACTCGAGGTACCACTGTTTATCACCTCATGGTAACAGCACTAGTGATATTTGTTTAGCCTTAAAGTAAGGTTATTAATATTTCCCTTCTAGTATGAAGTAGTTTTGAATTTAAGGGTGTCGTTATCAACACAGAGGACCTTACCGACACGGAAGCCTGTGTCCAAATTTTCCTGTGCTGCGATTTTCTTCACAGTTATCAGCAAATGGCCCAAGAGCTGGAAATAAATATGTTTGATAGTGTAACAGTTATATTTTGTTCATATAATTTGCCAGCCATTGTTAGCCTAAGATACAATACTGTATAATACAACTAAAGTACATCTGCTTTATTAGACAGATGAGGAATCAGTATGAAGTGATGCCACGAGTACACTTGTACTACTGTAACAATGCCACAAGTACATTTGTATTACTGTAACAATGCCATGAGTACATTTGTATTACTGTAACAATGCCATGAGTACACTTGTACTACTGTAACAATGCCACGAGTACACTTGTACTACTGCAACAATGCCACGAGTACACTTGTACTACTGTAACAATGCCACGAGTACACTTGTACTACTGTAACAATGCCACGAGTACATTTGTATTACTGTAACAATGCCATGAGTACATTTGTATTACTGTAACAATGCCATGAGTACACTTGTACTACTGTAACAATGCCACGAGTACACTTGTACTACTGCAACAATGCCACGAGTACACTTGTACTACTGTAACAATGCCACGAGTACACTTGTACTACTGTAACAATGCCACAAGTACACTTGTACTACTGTAACAATGCCATGAGTACACTTGTACTACTGTAACAATGCCACGAGTACATTTGTATTACTGTAACAATGCCATGAGTACACTTGTACTACTGTAACAATGCCATGAGTACATTTGTATTACTGTAACAATGCCATGAGTACACTTGTATTACTGTAACAATGCCATGAGTACACTTGTACTACTGTAACAATGCCACGAGTACACTTGTACTACTGTAACAATGCCACGAGTACACTTGTACTACTGTAACAATGCCACGAGTACACTTGTATTACTGTAACAATGCCACAATGAGTACACTTGTACTACTGTAACAATGCCACGAGTACACTTGTACTACTGTAACAATGCCACAATGAGTACACTTGTATTACTGTAACAATGCCACGAGTACACTTGTACTACTGTAACAATGCTACAATGAGTACACTTGTATTACTGTAACAATACCACGAGTACACTTGTACTACTGTAACAATGCCACAATGAGTACACTTGTATTACTGTAACAATGCCACGAGTACACTTGTACTACTGTAACAATGCCACAATGAGTACACTTGTACTACTGTAACAATGCCACGAGTACACTTGTACTACTGTAACAATGCCACGAGTACACTTGTACTACTGTAACAATGCCACAATGAGTACACTTGTACTACTGTAACAATGCCACAATGAGTACACTTGTACTACTGTAACAATGCCATGAGTACACTTGTACTACTGTAACAATGCCACCATGAGTACAGTTGTACTACTGTACCTGTCAACAGGTAATTACTAACCATGGTACAGGTGGGGTTAGAACCCACTACAAGTGTGTCATAAAATTCCAGTGGTCTGGAGTGTTACGACCCACTTGCCATGAGCGCTAACCCCCACCCATACCATGGTTTGTTGACAGGATAGCACGATTACGCGAGTCGGGTAATTACTGTAAGTCCTCGACTTAAAAACACATTCTTCTGTATTGTATATTTTTTTTTAACAAGTCAGCCGTCTCCCACCGAGGCAGGGTGACCCAAAAAACGAAAGAAAATCCCCAAAAAGAAAATACTTTCATCATTCAACACTTTCATCTCACACATAATCACTGTTTTTGCAGAGGTGCTCAGAACACAACAGTTTAGAAGCATATAACTATAAAGATACACAACATATCCCTCCAAACTGCTAATATCCCGAACGACCTCCTTTAGAGTGCAGGCATTGTACTTCCCATTTCCAGGACTCAAGTCTGGCTAATTAAAAATAACCGGTTTCCCTGAATCCCTTCACTAAATATTACCCTGCTCACACTCCAACAGATCGTCAGGTCCCATATACCATTCGTCTCCATTCACTCCTATCTAACATGCTCACGCACGCTTGATGGGATCATGACAGAAATGTTAAAAGCAGGGGGGGATATAGTGTTGGAGTAGTTGTTATTTTTGGTTAATAAATGTATGAAAGAGGGGAAGGTACCTAGGGATTGGCAGAGAGCATGTATAGTCCCTTTATATAAACAGAAAGGGGACAAAAGAGACTGTAAAAATTATAGAGGAATAAGTTTACTGAGTATACCAGGAAAAGTGTACAGTAGGTTTATTATGTACTACTTGCAAAGAAAAAAAAAAAAAAAAAAAAAAAAGAATTAGAGATAAGACAGAATGTAGGATTGCGGATGAGCAAGGAGGTTTTAGAGTGGGTAGGGGATGTGTAGATCAAGTGTTTACATTGAACATATATGTGAACAGTATTTTGATAAAGGTAGGGAAGTTTTTATTGCATTTATGGATTTAGAAAAGGCATATGATAGAGTGGATAGGGAAGCAATGTGGCAGATGTTGCAAGTACAGTGGACCCCGCTTAACGATCACCTCCCAATGCGACCAATTATGTAAGTGTATTTATGTAAGTGCATTTGTACGTGTATGTTTGGGGGTCTGAAATGGACTAATCTACTTCACAATATTCCTTATGGGAACAAATTCGGTTAGTACTGGCACCTGAACATACTTCTGGAATGAAAAAATATCGTTAACCAGGGGTCCACTGTAGTATATGGAATAGGTGGTAAGTTACTAAATGCTGCAAAGAGTTTTTATGAGGATAGTGAGGCTCAGGTTAGGGTGTGTAGAAGAGAGGGAGAATACTTCCCAGTAAAAGTAGGTCTTAGACAGGGATGTGTAATGTCACCATGGTTGTTTAATATATTTATAGATGGGGTTGTAAAGGAAGTAAATGCTAGGGTGTTCGGGAGAGGGGTGGGATTAAATTATGGGGAATCAAATTCAAAATGGGAATTGACACAGTTACTTTTTGCTGATGATACTGTGCTCATGGGAGATTCTAAAGAAAAATTGCAAAGGTTAGTGGATGAGTTTGGGAATGTGTGTAAAGGTAGAAAGTTGAAAGTGAACATAGAAAAGAGCAAGGTGATGAGGGTATCAAATGATTTAGATAAAGAAAAATTGGATATCAAATTGGAGAGGAGGAGTATGGAAGAAGTAAATGTTTTCAGATACTTGGGAGTTGACGTGTCGGCGGATGGATTTATGAAGGATGAGGTTAATCATAGAATTGATGAGGAAAAAAAGGTGAGTGGTGCATTGAGGTATATGTGGAGACAAAAAATATTATCTATGGAGGCAAAGAAGGGAATGTATGAAAGTATAGTAGTACCAACACTCTTATATGGGTGTGAAGCTTGGGTGGTAAATGCTGCAGCGAGGAGACAGTTGGAGGCAGTGGAGATGTCCTGTCTAAGGGCAATGTGTGGTGTAAATATTATGCAGAAAATTCGGAGTGTGGAAATTAGGAGAAGGTGTGGAATTAATAAAAGTATTAGTCAGAGGGCAGAAGAGGGGTTGTTGAGGTGTTTTGGTCATTTAGAGAGAATGGATCAAAGTAGAATGACATGGAGAGCGTATAAATCTGTAGGGGAAGGAAGGCGGGGCAGAGGTCGTCCTCGAAAAGGTTGGAGGGAGGGGGTAAAGGAGGTTTTGTGGGCGAGGGGCTTGGACTTCCAGCAAGCGTGCATGAGCGTGTTATTGTGTATATCATTATTATATCATTACTGTGTATATAATTATTATACATATTATTGTGTTTATCATTATTATACTCAATACAGGTCCCCAACATATTGTAAGTTGAGGGTTTCCTGTACTGTATGTATATTCAACTGCAGTGCAACCCATGCAACAAGTGTTTACCGAGGTGTCTTGGTCCGTGGCCTCGCTCAGCATTGTAATCCGTCGTTTGGGAATCACCAGGATGTGAGTCGGGGCTTGGGGATTCACATCGCGAAATGCCAAGCACTCGCCATCCTGATAAACAATCTCCGCAGGTATGGAGCCATCAATGATTTTGTCAAAGATAGTGGGTTGTAGCTTCTGGGCCGCTGTTGCTGTCTTAGCCTTAGTTACTTCATCACTCCTTGAGTGCAACGACTGAAATTGTAAAGAAAAGTACTTTAAAACACGAAGTAGTATTGTACTAAGCACAACTTATCCGCTTTACAAAATACAGGAGAGTCCCACTTACCTGGAGTTTACCTGGAGTTTACCTGGAGAGAGTTCCGGGGGTCAACGCCTTCGCGGCCCGGTCTGTGACCAGGCCTCCTGGTGGAATCAGAGCCTGATCAACTAGGCTGTTGCTGCTGGCTGCACGCAAACCAACGTACGAGCCACAGCCCGGCTGGTCAGGAACCGACTTTAGGTGCTTGTCCAGTGCCAGCTTGAAGACTGCCAGGGGTCTGTTGGTAATCCCCCTTATGTATGCTGGGAGGCAGTTGAACAGTCTCGGGCCCCTGACACTTATTGTATGGTCTCTTAACGTGCTAGTGACACCCCTGCTTTTCACTGGGGGGATGTTGCATCGTCTGCCAAGTCTTTTGCTTTCGTAGTGAGTGATTTTCGTGTGCAAGTTCGGTACTAGTCCCTCTAGGATTTTCCAGGTGTATATAATCATGTATCTCTCCCTCCTGCATTCCAGGGAATACAGGTTTAGGAACCTCAAGCGCTCCCAGTAATTGAGGTGTTTTATCTCCGTTTTGCGCGCCGTGAAATTTCTCTGTACATTTTCTAGGTCAGCAATTTCACCTGCTTTGAAAGGTGGTGTTAGTGTGCAGCAATATTCATCATTGCTTAGTAGCAGCGCTGTATAGTCCTTGTGGCTTAGCGCTTCTTTTTGATTATAATAATAATAATAATCATTGCTTAGTTAATCTTAAGTTAATTTTAAGCCAGCCCGTAATGCTATGCATAGTATAAGTGGCTTTGGCATACTGCTCTTATCTGTATTTTTTTTGTACCTCTGTATGTGTGCACAAATTGGAAATAAAAAAAAAAAAAAATAAAAAAAAAAATAAAAAAGATAGAACAAGTTTTATATAGCAGGTTAAAGGCTACTGCTGTGAAGTGAGGATCACTGTAAAGTGAAACACTGATTTGGTTTGCTTAGGTTCGAGTAGGTTAGGTTAGGGTATGTTGGGTGTCATGCCAGGTTGTCATGTCAGGTTGTCATGCCAGGTTGTCATGTCAGGTTGTCATGTCAGGTTGTCATGCCAGGTTGTCATGTCAGGTTGTCATGCCAGGTTGTCATGTCAGGTTGTCATGTCAGGTTGTCATGCCAGGTTGTCATGTCAGGTTGTCATGCCAGGTTGTCATGTCAGGTTGTCATGTCAGGTTGTCATGCCAGGTTGTCATGTCAGGTTGTCATGTCAGGTTGTCATGCCAGGTTGTCATGCCAGGTTGTCATGTCAGGTTGTCATGCCAGGTTGTCATGTCAGGTTGTCATGTCAGGTTGTCATGCCAGGTTGTCATGTCAGGTTGTCATGCCAGGTTGTCATGTCAGGTTGTCATGCCAGGTTGTCATGTCAGGTTGTCATGCCAGATTGTCATGTCAGTTTGTCATGTCAGGTTATCATATCAGGTTGTCATGCCAGGTTGTCATGTCAGGTTATCATATCAGGTTGTCATGCCAGGTTGTCATGTCAGGTTGTCATGCCAGGTTGTCATGTCAGGTTATCATATCAGGTTGTCATGCCAGGTTGTCATGCCAGGTTGTCATGCCAGGTTATCATGTCAGGTTGTCATGTCAGGTTATATCAGGTTATCATGTCAGGTTGTCATGCCAGGTTATCACGTCAGGTTGTCATGCCAGGTTATCACGTCAGGTTGTCATGCCAGGTTATCACGTCAGGTTGTCATGCCAGGTTGTCATGTCAGGTTGTCATGTCAGGTTATATCAGGTTATCATGTCAGGTTGTCATGCCAGGTTGTCATGTCAATCATACAGGATAAAAACAACTTTAATCACACTGGGGACCCGAGAGTGACTCGGGGTTTTCAGTCACTTCTCCTCACTTCACTCCCAATATGAACATGTTGAAGTGTTAAAGTGAGGTTGCAGCCTCACCGTGTGCAACCTGCAGCGGCTCACAATGTTGCAGCGGCCAGAAAACATGTAAAATCTGGCGGCGAGGCTGACCAGACCCCAGGAAGCTGCTGCCATGTTTATATGTTGAGTATAAGTGGAGGAACCTGAGTACACGAGGATCACTCTGGATCACTCTGGATCACACTCTGGATCACTCTCTGGATCACACTCAGCATCACACTCTGGATCACACTCTGGATCACACTCAGGATCACTCTGGATCACACTCAGCATCACACTCTGGATCACACTCAGGATCACTCTGGATCACACTCAGAATCACTCTGGATCACACTCTGGATCACACTCTGGATCACTCTGGATCACACTCAGCATCACACTCTGGATCACACTCAGGATCACTGGATCACACTCTGGATCACACTCAGAATCACTCTGGATCACTCTGGATCACACTCTGGATCACACTCAGGATCACTCTGGATCACACTCAGCATCACACTCTGGATCACACTCTGGATCACACTCAGGATCACTCTGGATCACACTCAGCATCACACTCTGGATCACACTCAGGATCACTCTGGATCACACTCAGAATCACTCTGGATCACTCTGGATCACACTCTGGATCACACTCTGGATCACTCTGGATCACACTCAGCATCACACTCTGGATCACACTCAGGATCACTGGATCACACTCTGGATCACACTCAGAATCACTCTGGATCACTCTGGATCACACTCTGGATCACACTCTGGATCACTCTGGATCACACTCTGGATCACACTCTGGATCACTCTGGATCACACTCTGGATCACACTCTGGATCACACTCAGCATCACACTCTGGATCACACTCTGGATCACTCTGGATCACACTCTGGATCACACTCTGGATCACACTCTGGATCACTCAGGATCACACTCTGGATCACACTCTGGATCACACTCTGGATCACTCTCTGGATCACACTCAGCATCACACTCTGGATCACACTCTGGATCACTCTCTGGATCACTCTGGATCACACTCAGCATGACACTCTGGATCACACTCTGGATCACTCTCTGGATCACTCTGGATCACACTCAGCATGACACTCTGGATCACTGGATCACTCTGGATCACACTCTGGATCACACTAATGCATTTTAATTATTATTTTTGAAATTAAATGCCTTTAACATTAGGTTAGAGGATTAAGATGGCGGATCAAAACATATTTAAGATGGCAGATCAAAACACATTAAGATGGCAGATCAAAACACATTAAGATGGCGGATCAAAACACATTAAGATGGTGGATCAAAACACATTAAGATGGCAGATCAAAACACATTAAGATGGCGGATCAAAACACATTAAGATGGTGGATCAAAACACATTAAGATGGCAGATCAAAACACATTAAGATGGCGGATCAAAACACATTAAGATGGTGGATCAAAACACATTAAGATGGCAGATCAAAACACATTAAGATGGTGGATCAAAACACATTAAGATTGTGGATCAAAACACATTAAGATGGCGGATCAAAATACATTAAGATGGTGGATCAAAACACATTAAGATGGTGGATCAAAACACATTAAGATGGTGGATCAAAACACATTAAGATGGCAGATCAAAACACATTAAGATGGCGGATCAAAACACATTAAGATGGTGGATCAAAACACATTAAGATGGTGGATCAAAACACATTAAGATGGTGGATCAAAACACATTAAGATGGCAGATCAAAACACATTAAGATGGCGGATCAAAACACATTAAGATGGCAGATCAAAACACATTAAGATGGTGGATCAAAACACATTAAGATTGTGGATCAAAACACATTAAGATGGCGGATCAAAACACATTAAGATGGTGGATCAAAACACATTAAGATGGTGGATCAAAACACATTAAGATTGTGGATCAAAACACATTAAGATGGCGGATCAAAACACATTAAGATGGTGGATCAAAACACATTAAGATGGTGGATCAAAACACATTAAGATGGCGGATCAAAACACATTAAGATGGTGGATCAAAACACATTAAGATGGCAGATCAAAACATTAAGATGGGGGATCAAAACACATTAATATGGGGGATCAAAACACATTAACATGGGGGATCAAAACACATTAATATGGGGGATCAAAACACATTAATATGGGGGATCAAAACACATTAATATGGGGATCAAAACACATTAAATTGGGGATCAAAAGCACATTAAGATGGGGGATCAAAACACATTAAATGGGGATCAAAACACATTAAGATGGGGATCAAAACACATTATAGAGGGGATCAAACACATTAAATGGGGGATCAAAGCACATTAATATGGGGGATCAAAGCACATTAATTGGGGGATCAAACACATTAATATGGGGGATCAAAACACATTAATATGGGGGATCAAAACACATTAATGTGGGGATCAAAACACATTAAGATGGGGGATCAAAGCACATTAAGATGGGGGATCAAAGCACATTAAGATGGGGGATCAAAGCACATTAATATGTGGGATCAAAGCACATTAATATGTGGGATCAAAGCACATAAATATAGGGGATCAAAGCACATTAATATAGGGGATCAAAGCACATTAATATAGGGGATCAAAGCACATTAATATGGGGGATCAAAGCACATTAAGATGGGGGATCAAAGCACATTAATGTGGGGATCAAAGCACATTAAGATGGGGGATCAAAGCACATTAAGATGGGGGATCAAAGCACATTAAGATGGGGGATCAAAGCACATTAATATGTGGGATCAAAGCACATTAATATGTGGGATCAAAGCACATTAATATGTGGGATCAAAGCACATTAATATGTGGGATCAAAGCACATAAATATAGGGGATCAAAGCACATTAATATAGGGGATCGAAGCACATTAATATAGGGGATCAAAGCACATTAATTTGTGGGATCAAAGCACATTAATATGTGGGATCAAAGCACATTAATATAGGGGATCAAAGCACATTAAGATGGGGGATCAAAGCACATTAATATAGGGGATCAAAGCACATTAATATGGGGGATCAAAGCACATTAATATAGGGGATTAAAGCACATTAATATAGGGGGACCAAAGCACATTAATATAGGGGGACCAAAGCACATTAATATAGGGGATCAAAGCACATTAATATAGGGGATCAAAGCACATTAACATAGGGGATCAAAGCACATTAATATAGGGGATCAAAGCACATTAATATAGGGGATCAAAGCACATTAATGTAGGGGATCAAAGCACATTAATGTAGGGGATCAAAGCACATTAATATAGGGGATCAAATCACATTAACATAGGGGATCAAAGCACATTAATATAGGGGATCAAAGCACATTAATATAGGGGATCAAAGCACATTAATATAGGGGATCAGAGCACATTAACATAGGGGATCAAAGCACATTAATATAGGGGATCAGAGCACATTAATATAGGGGATCAGAGCACATTAACATAGGGGATCAAAGCACATTAATATGGGGGATCAGAGCACATTAATATAGGGGATCAGAGCACATTAATATAGGGGATCAGAGCACATTAATATAGGGGATCAGAGCACATTAATATAGGGGATCAGAGCACATTAACATAGGGGATCAAAGCACATTAATATAGGGGATCAGAGCACATTAATATAGGGGATCAAAGCACATTAACATAGGGGATCAGAGCGTGTTTAACACCGTTGTTCTTCTGTTAATATATAAGATACAGAAGTTTATAACAGCTGGAGCAGCAGTGTTATGGTGGCGCCTCTAACATTATTATTGTTATTGTGGTGCTTCTGTTGTTGCTCCAACACCACCACCAGGTGGGTCACCCCCGGGGCACCCCCGCCCCCCCTGGGGGGCCCCACGGGGGGCACATAAGGGGGTATAATGGTTCATAACCCCCCTTACCACGCCCCCTTAACTTCACCCCACGAGGTAGTTTCACTGTTAATAACACGTACACGAACCTCCACCACCACCACACTGTCCTTGATAAGTACACCCGGGGGAGGAAATGGGTGATTAGGGGGGAATGTGGGGGGAAATATGTGGGGAGTCGCCCCCTGACACTCTAACTTGAAGTTCCCTTATTACAGCTGTTTTTGTGGTCACCCGTCCAGTTACTGGCCTCACACTGTGGTATTGTATTATATATTGTGTGGTTGTGGTCACCCGTCCAGTTACTGGCCTCACACTGTGGTATTGTAGGTGTATATTGTATGGTTGTGGTCACCCGTCCAGTTACTGGCCTCACACTGTGGTATTGTATTATATATTGTATGGTTGTGGTCACCCATCCAGTTACTGGCCTCACACTGTGGTATTGTATTATATATTGTATGGTTGTGGTCACCCGTCCAGTTACTGGCCTCACACTGTGGTATTGTATTATATATTGTGTGGTTGTGATCACCCGTCCAGTTACTGGCCTCACACTGTGGTATTGTATTATATATTGTATGGTTGTGGTCACCCGTCCAGTTACTGGCCTCACACTGTGGTATTGTATTATATATTGTATGGTTGTGGTCACCCGTCCAGTTACTGGCCTCACACTGTGGTATTGTATTATATATTGTATGGTTGTGGTCACCCGTCCAGTTACTGGCCTCACACTGTGGTATTGTATTATATATTGTGTGGTTGTGATCACCCGTCCAGTTACTGGCCTCACACTGTGGTATTGTATTATATATTGTATGGTTGTGGTCACCCTCCAGTTACTGGCCTCACACTGTGGTATTGTATTATATATTGTATGGTTGTGGTCACCCGTCCAGTTACTGGCCTCACACTGTGGTATTGTATTATATATTGTATGGTTGTGGTCACCCGTCCAGTTACTGGCCTCACACTGTGGTATTGTATTATATATTGTATGGTTGTGGTCACCCGTCCAGTTACTGGCCTCACACTGTGGTATTGTATTATATATTGTGTGGTTGTGATCACCCGTCCAGTTACTGGCCTCACACTGTGGTATTGTATTATATATTGTATGGTTGTGGTCACCCGTCCAGTTACTGGCCTCACACTGTGGTATTGTATTATATATTGTATGGTTGTGGTCACCCGTCCAGTTACTGGCCTCACACTGTGGTATTGTATTATATATTGTATGGTTGTGGTCAC